GAGAGTATTTTGATGATTCTACAAGGCGTTGTGGATGTACCTTTTTTATAGTCTTTGAATCGAAAGGCTAAGAAACATGGATTCTATTATTAACTAGACTTAAAAATCGGGAATAGAGATATATTTTTGTTTTTTGGTCTATACGACATTATTTAGAACCGTCAAGAAAATACGATTATACAAATTTAATTATTGCCAATTTCCGATAGGGTACAAGATTTGTATAACTCCACCAAAGAACAGTAGACGTTGTCAAACGTTGGATGCAAGATGGATGAGTCTAACACACTATCAATAATGATTTCCATCAGATACTTCGAATGATAAAAGTCACACCATCCTAAGACCATTTACATTTGTCTTAAATATCTTAAGTTAAAAACCAGTGAGCGGAGCAGTATAGTCAGACGGGGCCGACCATATGATACCCTACACAACTTCCACGAAAACTAACTTTCTGCGGTTATATATTCTGAGCATGGAAAATATTTCCCTATATTTACACCCTCTTGACCGACTAGAGGTCAACAAATATTACTAATATTCAGTAAATCCCTTCTCAGTACTTGTCCAGATTCCCTTCACGGTGGGTTGTGTTATGATGTTCGACTCGAAAATAACACAAAAATTAAGTTTTCGGTCCACTTCATTCCAAAATTATTATCTGATCATCACCGAAAATTATAGGCGTTATCATTGACCATTCCTGGATCCTCAAGGAAATTTTCAAAGCGATCCGCGCTGTATTTCCGCCTCCAGTGTGGTAATGTGTAACTAAATAATATCTGAGTACATAAGCACCTGTAAATATTTAAATGTAACTCTCGCATCTTGGATATACTATCAACTTCTCGGTTCTAGGTCATTCAGGAGTAAATATATACGCTATAGAATACAAATTTTGTCATTTTTCACACATATTTAGCGGGTCCATTTGACCCGCTAAATATTGATCGATCTTTATCAAAACAGGCATGCTTATTCTTTGGCCCAATCCCCTTCTCCATGAAAAATTCGCGGTGTTTGGGCCATAATTGCGGCCTCTGGAGCGACCAGAAAATCAGACAAAAATTTAGTTTTTGGTCCATTTCATCCCCTAAATATTAACCGATCTTTACAAAAAACAATAGGGGTCTTCATTGGGCAGAACCCATCCTACATGCACAATTTCGTGAAGATTGGTCCATAACTGCGGCCTGTATCGTGTTTACAAATTATAATGGACAGACGGACGGATGGACGGACGGACTCTTGGGGCTGCACAAAGCTATAATACCCTGACAACATAGTTGTGTAGGGTATAAAAATTAAATCTACTCTGCTCTATTTGATACTGATTCTAACTCCAGGTTATTGAAGTGGTGAGGTGTGCATTGTAGAAAATTACCATATGCCGAAGTGATGTTTTGCAATACTCAATCAAATTTACGCCCAATACGAATGGAGTTGGATACACCACCACAGCACTCTGGTTTGTCTAGGTAGCTACTTCTCTTCTGCTGCGGTTGTATTCACCCTGTATTTTTGAATTGTTTCCCCAGTGTCTGTTGATCATCTTGTTGTGTTGACGCACAGGAAGCATCTTCGTCTTCTCCAGTAAGTGGTCTATTGGAGTCATGGGTATACAACCTGTTTCAGTCTTCAGGGCGACATTCTGATACGATTGAATGTTATCTAATGCGTAGTACTTACGATAGCGAGTCACACTGCTACCAACATTTCAATCTGAGCTGGAGAGTAGTTCTTTCAACACTTTCACTCGACTTGATGGAATGTGTGATGTGAGCTTAGGCATCAATAACTCTATGATTAGCCAAAAACATAGTTCTTATCTCACAAGGCTATTTACTTAGTTTTCACATCTGTGAAAAATTCTGGTAGCAGGATCTGCCGATCCATTTCGTTGTACCAAATGGTCGTGAAGTTCAACCAACAACAGCCGCAGTGACACAGAACACTGACCATTGACGTCGTGCGTGAACTGATAATGGAGGCTTGTCATGTGACATACCATGAGTTAAAAGCATCCGTTGGCATTTCTTCCACCCTCATATATTCCGTAATGCAATTTGACAATTGCTCAAAAATTGACACGGGCCTTTGGAAAGAAATGTTGAACATTTAAAATCAAGGACATATGCGAGTGAGTCCGAAACAACCGTCTGGGACTTTGAAGATGTTCCTAATGACGCGAAAGCAATTCGTTATTCTGAAAAACTGGTGATGTACCGCTTGAGCGACTTAGGAACACAATTTGTTTGCCTTTGCTGAAATTCAGAAAACGAAGAGCTCTATGTTAATGCGAGCTCTTACTCAGGCTCTCAAACCAGCGTATTTTTGTACTTCGATATACCTTGAAAAATAGCACAACTCAACTGCCGTTTTCAGCATTCTGAACTCTGTGGGTGGCATGTTTATGCCTAGTATATAAACACTGTGCCATTCAGATCAACTCAATTTCCATGGGAATGGGGTTCCAAACTTGATTTTTGTGTTAATTAATCTACAGGATGCTATTCCGTCTTCAAGCTTCAGAATTTATGTGTATTCGAAATATATTACTACGAGTAATGAGACTTCTCTTCTTCTCTTTTGAGTGTTGAAAGATCTTGGGGAGTATATGAAAATCCTAGAAGGAAAATTTCGCCATAGGTCAAAGTTCGAAGATATTGCGTGATCTTTTCCTTTGTTGGCGGCCCTGTTGTACTTAATGAGATAGCTTCCGATTCCTATTTAAATTTAAAAACCCATTTTTTCCTCAAAAATACATATAATTGCTACAAATGAAGATATTTCCGAACGTTGCCTGTGGTGACTTTTTGCTTCTGAGGTTTTCATATACTCACCAAGGCCTTTCAATCCCAATAAAAACCTTTTAAATCCCAGACCATGATCTCGATTTTATCGCCCAGCGAAATTAATATCCCAAGTGAATTCGTCATTGATGAAAAATTTAGAACATTGTTATATATATTTCTGTTTCCTTGTGTGGAACTCGACCTAGTGGGTTCAAAAAGTCATATTTTAATTTTTATAAAAAAAATATATTCTTCCAAACAACGACGTGAAAAATATAGCCTTAAAAATCGTTGGGCAATATTTTAAAACAGTATTTTGATGACTGATATTTACATGAAATTGATTATTTTTGAGTTCTATCCAAAAAGGATTATATCGTTCATAAAGGATCGATATCGATTTTAGTGGATTCGGATCTACCTTTCGTTAATTTTAAGTAGTATATAAAATATGATAATGGCTTGTTAGACAATTTTATGTTTGTTTCAATGTTTAAAGACGATTTTAATTCAAGGCGTTCCAAGTCGAATTAATTTGATCCTTGTTTCTTAGACTTAATGATCAACAAATAAAAATAAATATAAGCAAAGACATAAAAGGCATACACAGTGCAACATTGATTTGAAAGTTTCAACAATTTACTAACTATAATTATATATACAAATAACCACAAATTTTTATAAAAATGTTTTATTTTTTAATTCCAATTAAAGCAATTGTTTGCATTCTTTCAAATCACGATCTTCATTGTTTTGTTGCACTCTGTTTAACAGCTGTTTCTCTACATCTATTTTTGGCAAGCGGATTCTCTTTTTAGTTTACATAGAAGTCGCTTAGGCTTGATCTATAACTTGATCTACAAACATTTATTATTAGATTTTCAGCACTATCGAAGTTAATATTGTTTTGTTTGTTGTTGTTGCTGCTGCTGTTGATTTAGCTTTAAAGCATTACTAACTGTCCGAAAAAGTGTATGTCCGATAGAAAACATTTACATTTGTGTATTTGTAGTATTATACAGGTTTAGGTGTAAGTTATATATTTAATAACTGCTACCCATAAAGTTGCAAGAAAATTAATTTAACTGAATTCAAATTGAATCAGTAAACTGTTGTAATAACAAAATATGTATTGTATAAAAACCTTGAAATAAATCTATGAAAAAAATATATTCCTCGATCTAACACAGCATTTCAGAATTGCTGGGCTTTGAATTAAGGGTAAAATTAAAGATAAATTGGGGTTTATGTGTAATTTCGATTTACAAAAATGCACAGTATTAAAAAATAAAATATTCAAGGATAGTATATATAGACATTAATTTGGTAAAAGCCATTGCCCTGTGACCTGCGCCCTAGTTTCGTAGGATATACGATATCATAATAAAAAATAAATGATCACCATCAAAACCTCGAACTCGAATGATAATTGCTTCATGTATACCAACAAAAAAATATACTGAAATAAAGTTTTCGGTACACTTGATTACATAAATATTAGCCCATCCACTGTCAGACACATCTTAAAATCGAAACAGGATAAAAATACTAATTTAGCATTCTCAATGGCAGGACGGCACGCTAGGAATATTCCTTCCATATAATGAAGATAAAATCCAGACATTGAAACTGGAAGCAGTGATTTGGGGCGGCGTATACCTGCAAAGGTCTTTACAGAAAATTTCTTGAGATGCACTATTTTTTATAAAAGCTCCAAATTGTTGACGATATATTAATGAGATTCTGAAATACTGTGTTCTAAACATAAACAAAATCCATCAGATGAATTGCACATAAAAAATAATCAAAACCTAATATTACAAAATTACATTTACCCCGGTATAGTTGGGGTCATTTCGCAGTTAACCTAAACTATCAAAGAATTATAAATATTGCAGCTTACAAAAATCTAGGTTGGGACAATATGTCTCAATAACAACACGATAGAAATCTATACAAATGATCAAAATAAAATATATACCTAGGGTTCTATGATTTTGCTTGTTTTTTTTTTCGTAAAATATAAATAAATTGTTTTCAATGCTATGCATCGATAGAAATATAACCTATGATCCTGTTGGACACCCAAAAAACTATAATGCTTTTATATAAAACTTGTTTCTATCTCTGTATATACCTTTTTCTTCCCTATGAATTTGTTTTCTTCTTCTTCTCTTGCAGAGTTCTGTTGCACTCTTATTTTTGTGTTTTTTTTTTCAATATCTTTTGAAATCCTCCATACAAACTCCTGGAAAAAATATCTGTGCAGTTTAATCGTTTTTGTTCAGAAAATGTAACACATAATGCAACACCAAGTCATAACAATATTTGTATTCGGTCATATTCTCTACCAGATGCGGACGATTACGTCTAACCGTTTTGACAGCCTGAAAAACATCCACTTCACCATGTTGTATGACCTGTTCGATACAAGCATTAGCGGCACAGTACACGCCGCAACGGCTACGACCATCGGGTGATACAACACATACTGGGCCATAATCAGTTTTGGCACGCCACAATTCGACCATATTCATCAGATAGACCAGCGAATTGGTCGATGTGGGCACTTTATGGCCCATGGGCCAACACGTCAATTGGAAGAGCTGTACAGTGCGTGTTGGTGCCTTAACGCCGGCCATCATTTCGGTCAATGAGACGATTTTTTTGTTGATTTTGAATTCCCATTGTTTGATGTTAGTGTAACTGCGTGCAGCGGAATAGTGTACAGAGAAGACGGGACCGTACTTCTCCATTTTGGATTTGATGGGCCAGAATGAGGGGAAGGTTTGGGAATTGGCAGGGGGTTGGCACAATACTACCACCGCCGAGCATTCGGTATCGTAAACCAGGGACCAAAACTCACCGAGCGTATGTTTCATGGGCCATTCGGTGACAATGTATTCGCGCGGCTTGGTATAGCCATCCACATAAACGGCATTGATGTAATCTGTAAAGGCATTACCTTGAAATGATGTTAGATAGGGACGGAAGTTGTCGGGTGGCACACACAGGACATCTCGGTTCTTTTCCCGGTTGTCGGCACGATGACCACCAGCACAATCGCCAATGGTGAAACGTGGTGTTTGCTTGCAGATTTTGTCGTATTCCATTTGATATTCGTTCATTTTGGTTTGAGAGTTGCGTCGGGCCTTGGCCTTCAGACGATCGGAGAGTTCGGAAACGGGGAACCAAGTTTTACCGCATACAATGTGCTCCTCCAGTGTATCATAGATGAATTTATATTGATCGACATTTTCCACTAAGCCTTTGCGCGACTGCCTCAGCTTCTTTTGATAGCCGTAAATGTTGAAACATTCTTCTTCCTCGTGCAGCTCCAGATTGGCATCAATCGAGACGAACACACCCGAACGGCCACCACCATCACCACAATGTACCAACATTGGGCCACGTGAATCTTTGTCTTTTATAATGCTGCCGACGACGAGGCGAACACGTCGGCGAAACTCCAATAAGGCATTTGAGAAGGGACAACAATGGGAATACCATTCGGTATAGTGAAATTGCAGCAACAGGCGGTCCTCTACAATTTCCGATCTATTGGCCTCATTCAGTTTGTAAAGTCGGAAAGTGCGTATATGGAAATTGGCCAATTGTTCCTCTTTGATGATGCTAATATTAATGTCGCCATAGGTTTCGTGTACCTCACGATTGGGTGGCCAGTATTGAACACACATCACTTTGGCAAAATCGAAAGTCTTCGTGAGCATAATAATGGCACTGACATTCTCCTGCCATACCATACGCCAGAAGGCATTCACTGTATCCTCCACTGGACCCTGGGTCACAATATAGGCATTTGGTTTTAACAAACTATCCACGTACGAAGCATTCACATAATCCGAATCCGGCTCTCCCTCCACCTTTTTCAGCACCACTCGATTGTAATCGTAGGGAATGCATTTGGGATTCTGATTTTTGCCCTGATTACTCTTCTTCATGGCATAACGGCAGGTATTGGTCTCCACTCGGGCGGCTGTCTGAAATTCCAATTTATATAGGACGGGGAATTTTCGTCGAAGTTCACACATTTTTATAAACTGCTGGGTATCAATGGGATAGGTGGGCATGGTCTTCGACAGGGAGTTGTTTTCATCTCGCGCCTCCAATTTGATTTTCTCAAACGATAATAGGCCACTGTTGAGCATACTCAATTTCAGGGTACTCGGTATGGAGAGCAGGGAGCGGCGGGGCTGTTTGGGTTCTGCGACGGCATGACGTGGCGATGACTTTGATCGACGTTGTTTCTGTGGTGATGGTTTTCGTGTCTCAACAGCACTTGCACTGGTGACACTGCCCCTGGTGCTGTGAACTTTACCATTGCCATTGGGTATTGCTGCCAGCGCTGCTGCATCCCTAGAAGTGGAGGCTCGTGGATATTCATCGGTCTGTGACATGGTGTGGTTGTCGTCGTCAACGTTGTACGGCTTCGCTGTCGTTCGTCTTGACTCTGTGGGACTTTTTCGGGGTGTTGTTGTTGCTGTTGCGGTTAATTGTGTTGTGGCCGTTGAATTAGAGGTGGCTAATGACGATGAATGGGAGGGGGAGAAGAGTTTTACTTTGCCATGACGTCGTAGGTGAAGGAATTTGGTAAATTTCTTATAGATTTTATGCCTGGTATTGTGTTTGACGGCCAGTTCAAATGTTTAGATGTATTCTCTATTTGTCGATTGTGTGTTATGATTCAGATTATCTAAGTGAAAATACGCAGACACACACACACCCGCGAACATGCATAGATACTGGGTGGTTGGCTGCTGGCTTCCTCTCGATAAAATTTGTTGAGATACTTCGGTGCTGACACTTAGTCTGTGTTGTTATATATGTTTTCTTAGTTGTTTATTTGTAAATTCTTATTGTAGTAATTGTTGTTGCCGTTGTTGTTGTTGCTGCTGCTGCCTTTTGCAAAACAAGTAGTTGTTTTTGTTTCCCACTTACTCATTCACGCACAATTTCGAGAAAAACGAATTAAACAAATTTTTCATGTTTTCTTAAAAATTTTCACCAGCTGCCAACACGGGAGAAAGTAAAAAAAACGACTGACACACGAATTCTCTTTTGGTTCAGAGCAATGGCTATTTTGTTGGTTAATGTTTTCTGTTCTTTATATTCTCATCGTTTAATAGCTGCAGGTTGTTTTTATTTTTCTTTGCACTGTTCACAATTTTCCTGAATTTGTTCTCTCTCGTGGACATTTTTTCTCTTACAATCAGCTGTTTTATCGTTTAGTTTTTAATGTTATTGTTTTTCATACAGTGGGCTCGTTTCTTGTATATGTATTTGTTTATTGTGCTTCGAATTTTGTTAATGAAAATCAACTTAAAATATTTTTTTTTATTGTTATTTATTTAATATTCTTTAATAGACGTTGCCTTCGAAATCGTTGTGTGATGCATGGAATTTTTTGTAGAAGTAAGTTTTTGTCCACATATTAAACGAGTTGCTGCCGAGTTTTACTAAACGAGATTTAGTATATTCTGTCATTACTAGGATCTTTATATTAAAAACAAAGTAAATACACACTCTCAGACATCGTTTGCTTAAAAACAAATCCATTGAAATGGTGTATGAGAGCGATAAAATATCTGATTTGTATAAAACTTAATATAAGTCATTCTAGACCTAATGTACAGAATTTCTTTGTAATCTTTTAACCGTTATTTATTTGTAATACAATTTACACGAAATCGTAAAGAAGGTTGTATTTATTGGCAAAATGAATGGAAGTCATGTTACGGTTCGTAATACTATATAAGCCCATAACTCATCCAATTCAATCCAAATCGAGTAAGCTATGTAGTAAATCTGAATCAATTTGATAAATAGTACAAAATTTCGTGTCAATCGAGCAAACATTAGGAGTTTGCTGCACAATTTCTAATTTACAATATATATATATATATATTTATATATGGGAGTTATATCGAAATATGAACCGATTTTACCGAAACTCACCACCCATCACTCAATTCAATACGCTATGCCAAACTTCGTGCAAATCGAAGGATATAAACGGACTTTGGTGCACTATTTACCTAAAATCTGACGAAAATATATACGGGAGCTATATCTAAATCTGAACCGATTTTCACGAAACTTAACACACACCATTCTAGACTTGATTTAGTATGCAATGCCAAATTTCTTGCAAATCGAATGATATAAAAGGACATTGGTGCACTATTTACCTAAAATCGGACGAAAATATATATGAGAGATATATTAATATCTGAACCGATTTTTCCGAAACTCACCCCTCATCATTCTAGACTTAATTTTGTACGCTATGCCAAATTGCGAGGAAATCGAAAGATATATAGGGATTTTGGTACACCATTACCATTTAATCGGACGAAAATATATATAGGAGCTATATTGAAATTTGAACTGATTTTCACGAAACTTAACATACATCATTGCACACATAATTTAGTACGCTATGCCAAATTTTGTGCAAATCGAAACATATATAAGCACTTTGGTTCACTATTTACATAAAATCGGACGAAAATATATATCAGAGCTATATCGAAATGTGAACACATTTTTCCGAAACTCTATCTCATCATTCTGGACTCAATTTAGTACACTATGCCCAACATCGTGCAAATCGAAGATTATAAAGGAACTTTAATGCACGATTTACCTAAAATCGGACGAAAATATATATGGAAGCTATATTTAAATCTGAGCCGATTTTCACGAAACTTAACGTACATCATTCTAGATACAATTCAGTATGCTATGACAAATTGCGAGGAAATCGAAAGATATATAGGGATTTTGGTACACCATTTACATAAAATCGGACGAAAATATATATGGGAGCTTTATCGAAATCTGAACCGATTTTTCCGAAACTCACCACTCATCATTCTAGACAAAATTGTGTACGTTATGCCAAATTTCTTGGAAATCGAAGGATATAACGGGACTTTGGTGCACCATTTACCTTAAATCGAACGAAAAATATATAGGATCTATATCTAAATCTGAATAGGGTTTGTCCTTGGGCCAAATAAATGAGCTGTGCCAAGTTCATCCAATTCGAATCAATAATACGCACATTGTACATTGTTTACAATTTAACATGGACAGACAGACGGACGGACGGACATGCATAAATCGACTTAAAAAGTGATTCTATGTATATTCTCAGGAGGAAACATATGCACAAATACATAATGCCCTGCACAACAGTGTGGTGAAGGGTATACAAATCAAATATAACTGTCAAGAAAAAATTTAAATTTCTGATTAACGGTATTTCCCACGTTACTTATACGTTTAGTTGTGCTGAAATTCAACAAACTTGATCCTCAGATTATAGGGTATATATGAATTCCATCTCTAAATTTTTTTACAAAAATATAATAACCGATTTCATTCACTCTATATTTTTTTATTTTAATAATCTTTAGTTTATCACATCTTTATCCCAGACATATTTATCTACTTATATTTCGTTTTGTCATGTTATATATATTTTGTTACTATGTCATTTTTTTCTTGCACATAATTTTTGATTCAATAAATTATTCCCCGTTTTTTGTATTATTCATGTTTTTGTTAAAAATATTCGTGGCGTATATGACGATTATACTGTCATGAGTAAGTATGTCTGGTTGTTTGTTTTCCCGGAATTTCCGTGCCTTTTTCCCGAATTGTTTGCAATTAATTTTTGTAGCTGTTGTTGTTAAACAAATTGCAAATATTTTTATAGTTTTTTTTGTTCATTGTTTTCGCCTTTTATTTTTGCTATGTTCTTCTGATTTTTTTTCTACAACAAAAAAGTTTGTTTATTTCTCTAACACGCTCTTTCTTCGGTCTGCTATATTCACACTGTCAGTCCCATGAAAATTCACTCTGACGCGTGTGCTCACTGCGCCAACTCCGTGTCTGCTGGCTCATCTCATCTGGTCTATTTTTCATTCACCAGGCAGTCAGCGAGCCAGCCACGGTCGGCAGGCCGAATGGCAGCAGCCTCGAAATGTGTAATCGAAAATTCCATGCATCACACCTCGCCTTCGCCGTTCTCTCCATCAACGTAAAGAATTTTATTGGATTTTTTTCGCAGGCGATTTCCAATCACAAACAGGCCGTAATCAATCGATTGTTTGTTTACAAAAATTACAAATTGAATTGCTTTATTTTAGTATTATCACGTTTTTTACATTTTTCAGCACTTTAGCCCTTGAATTGAATTACTTATTATTTTTGTAGGTCACCATTTTTCACAGCGAATCGAAATTTCAGATTTTATTTGCAAAATTTGCTTAAAATTTTCATTTTTCCCGTTTGGATTTTCTATTTTCATTATGAAATTTTAGATATTTGGTCGTTTAGATGGTTGACTATATATTTCTTTTAGCCATTTATGCACTATATTTAACAAAAGAAAATATTTTTTGTTCGAGGTATTTTTTTCTGGTATCGTTGTTTGTCTTATTTTTTGTTCGTTTTTTCTTTCGCACTACCACTGCCACTTGCTCTGTCAAATAACGTCTGCTAGGAGGGCACGTAAAAATGAATGAATTTTTCACATTTTGTTTCACTTTTCTGTTGGATTTTCTTTTATCTTGTCATTCGTTCGAAGAAAAACAAAATTTCGAATTCGAAAATATGGTTTGAGATGCTTTGGTTGGTACGATAATTTGGTTAAAGTTATCGTTTTGAATATACAGTGGGAAAGTAAGCTATTTTTATACCCTTCACCACACTGTGGTACAGGGTATTATGTCTTTGTGCATATGTTTGTAACAGGCAAAAAAAATCGAGATAGACCCATGGTTCCTTTTGAGAATATGCATAGAATCACTTTCTGAGTCGATTTATGCATGTCCGTCCATCCGTCCGTCTGTCCATGTTAAATGGTAAACAATGTACAGGTCTCATTTATGATCCGATTTGGATGAAATTTGGCACAGCTCATTTGTTTGGCCCAAGGATAAACCCTATTGAAATTAGGAAAATCGGTTCAGATTTAATATAGCTCCCATATATATTTTCGTCCGATTTAAGGAAAATGGCAAACAAAAGTCCCTATATATCTTTCGATTTGCACGAAATTTAGCACAGCGTACTGAATAAGGTCTAGAATGATGTGTGCAAAATTTCGGTAGAGATTTAGATATAGCTCCCATATATAGCTTCGGCCGTTTTTAGGTAAATAGTCCAATAAAGTCCCTAGAAATCTTTTGATTTGCACGAAATTTGGCACAGCGTAATGAATAAGGTCTAGAATTATGTCTGAGAAGTTTCGTCAAAATCGGCTCAGATTTAGATATAGCTTCCATATATAGCTTCGCCCGATTTTATGTAAATAGTCCACTAAAGTCTCTGGAAATCTTTTGATTTGCACGAAATTTGGCACAGCGTAATGAATAAGGTCTAGAATTATGTCTGCCAAGTTTCGTGAAAATCTGCTCAAATTTAAATATAGCTTCTATATCTGACCATATGAGAAATTTATTATCGGTTGCAGAATGACTTGTTTATGGATCCAATTTCATTTTACTGATCCTTTAAAAATGCGACGTCTGTTAGGATTCATCTGTTGAATATACCCAAAGTGGTGAAGGGTATCATATAGTCAGCCCCGTCTGACTTTAATA